ATACTCCATCGATCGAAGATAATTTGTCCTGAGAAACCAGAGATCATACCGAACCAGAATTGAATGACATAGAGGCAGACATTCTTGTAGAATGAGTAGAGAATAACCTTGGTTATGCGATTAAAAGACCACGCGCCGTGAACAAGAAGGAGTTTGTTGAGGAATCTGAATTGTGCGATGGCGTAATCGGAAGAACAGGCTGCCTGTCGACCCTCCACGCCATAGATACCGATGCCGATGTGGGCTGCCTGATGAAAAGAAGGAAAATAAATTGTTTCTTTTGTAAACTCCACACATAAGTAATAAGATTGAAATCTCTGTCTGAAGTAAATAGCATTTGTCAACTAGACGAGTTATTTTCGAAGCTTAAAATATATTGAAATACTCGTATCATAAAGACAAAAATAACTTATGCTTCAAAATAAAAAAAAGCATTACAAAGACAAGGGGAAAGAAAAAATTTCATAAAAGGCATGTATTAAAACAATTTATTTACAATAAACACCTCGATTTTATGATAGGATCATGGGCTTTAAAAATCCAATTCATTGGAATTTATTTGTATTAAGTTGTTTACAATTTTTTGTCATTTTATTACCAAGGGGTGTGTAATAGACTTACCTCCACGTGGTGCACCCTGGGCAACGTATACTCATACGGCAAAAAAGTCTATTAATCGGCAGTTGACTTCTGACTTCAAACTACCATGACCCCATTACATTTCATATTCGAATAATTTCACAGTATTCACCTCACCTTTTTTCTACCTTTGTGTCTGTGTCTCTTTTACGTCCGTGAATCATTATTCTGTCCCCCTCTCCACTTTTTACCAGTTGGATGTTCATCTTCCTTTCTGTAAAGCCCGAAGTCAACTAAAGGGCTAATGATACTTATCATAACGCCTGCCATTTGAAATAAATATTTGTATTAAGTAAACGAAGAAAAAATGCACCATTTATTCAATTCAGAACTTTTTGAAACGATAAAAGGGAACATCGATTTTAACAATTAGGCCCAATGGCAACTAGGTATGCAAAGTCACAAATGCAATATTGCATTTGTAGAGTACGCATTCTCAACACGATTAAATTGCACACGGAAATTCAGGGGGTGCGATAGTGTGTGAAATGGACTTTTCGTCTAATAAGCTGCTCGTTTTCATTCAATTTATGTTAACGGAGTTCAACCACTACTCATGCTTGCCGTGATCAGATATAAGTTTTAGAAACGATATGCTTTCACTATACGTCTGCTTCTTCTATTCCATGGAGAAAGTTTAACTCATTCCGGGAGCCCATTCATATTAGGATATTTTGACATAGAGATTACTTAAGGATAAGTCAAGGCTAATTCTTTTAATAATCCTCTTCGTCTCTATTCGTGTTTAAGTTTCCTATTTGATGTTTAAATAAATATAGAAAATCATAACTTAGAAAGAACTTAGCCAACTCATGCCATAAACCTTACAATGAGAAAAAAGAGAATAGAATGGCCTTATTTTGAGTTGCGAATGAGATACGTCATCGATTAACGCATGATCCATGCGCGTTCAACCAATGGCCAAGCAGAAGACTTCATTTGTTTAATCGTATCCGCCATGCTGATTATGACGAACCCTACGTGTGTACGCTGTTACCATATTATACATCCTGAATGTGTTACGTGCGATATGTCTGTTTCCTCTATAGCTGGGCCGTAGATTAGCTAGTTCTGGGAGTCTAGCTAGGTAAAGGGGATTCCGCCACAGAGACTTCTGAGTCAGTCAAGACTTTACGAGTGTAGCAATCCGCTACAAATATGAAAACCACGAGTAGCAAAAACTACAGAATAGCTGAAAACCTTGCATTTATATCACGTCACATGATGAATAATTTTTACAGACATTGTGATTGAAATTAGATTCCATTTTACCCACCTTCAAGCGTGTTTCGCTTGTCTACCTTAACAGTGACATTGCACATTATGAACTTAAAGATGCTCCAGTCAAGACGCGTTCCATACGTAGTCATCCAGAGCTTTGTATGCAGCTCCAAGCCCTACTACTCAGTTTTATAAACCGATTCAAGTTGATTTGCTCATCTTATTGTGCAATTATTCCAGGTATGTGGAAAAAATGAACATTCATAAAAAATTCAACATTCAGCGACCATCAAATTAAGAACGATATTCAACCCCTCCTGGCCTTTTGGATAAGTAAATTATTAGTTAAATACCTCTTTTTTCTCACCTTATCCAAATCACATTGGTGACCAACATAGCTTTCAACAAGTTAATTACTTTCAGACACTTTCAATTGCATCATAATGGGGGAATGGTACCTACCTGAATCATTCCAACATCGTTGGCTCCGTCGCCAATTGCGAGAGTGATATCATTTGTAAAAGTCCGAACCAAACGAACCACCTCAGCCTTTTGCCATGGACTCACTCTGAAACAAATGCACGAATTTCGATTAAAGCGCGAAAGCACGAATCCACTTGAAGTTAACGACTGCTCGGAGTGATGAAATATTGTATAAAGGAAGCATGAAATGAATTCGTTTTAATGTAACTTCAAATCCGAAAAAAGGTAGCAAACCCTAACCCAATGAGAGTAGATTCATGAAAATGACTAAGTATACGCATTTGAAGATATAGTTAGTTGAAAGCCAGAAAAAGAGCGATGTTTATAAAATTATCGATGAATGGAAAGGTCTAAAAAATAAAGCCAACATACCGACAGCACACAACCGAAGAACAAGAGTGCGCCAAATCGAAGAATTCCCTCTGACACTCCGCCGTAAGAAGCATTTCCAAGGCCTGTTAATAGAAACAGGTTAACAATGGCTGATACCAACCAACAGTCTATTGATGCATCGGTTCCACGATATGGACTTCACACATCCCTACTGCATGGCCCAAACCGATTACTAATTACAATATTGAAAATCGCTACATATTTTTTTCTAAAAATAAAGATATTTGGTGCTTAGCTTAAGATGTTCACCACTTAAGACAAGACATTCTGGGTCATCAGAGGAGCGTTCAAAGCCAACGATTTCTTTAAAATATGATTAGAAATCAATTCAAAAAGTCAAAACATTGAAAAAAATTAAAATACCTGTCTTAATCAAATAGCCAACAGTAAGGACTAAAGACCAAGTTAACTGATACTATTAAAATAGAGAAAGTAAAAATTAACCAAAATTTTCGACCCTTATCATTAACACGAAGGGCCATAGATAAGCACAAATGGCTGAGTAAACACATATTGCCTAAAATAAATCAGATCTATTTTTTATTGAGAGAAACTAAACACTTTTTTCTCTAGTAACTGTCAATTTGCATATAGTGAATTCAAAATTAGCTTTAATTTGCAATTTAGGTCGCTCACCTTGCCCGTAACGATGAGAGCAATTTCTCGATCTTCGTCACCCTCCCCTCTCTGTGCATTAATGCACTCGTAAAGTTGATTACGAACTCCATCCATATCACTGGCATTGATCACCAATTGAGTCTGATTCGGACTTATCAATCGACAGGACAAACCTGCAAGTAACGCAAAAAAGGTATGCTCACATTATGAAGAAAACAATGCAAATATTAACTTCTGAGGACTTAATTATCACTACTTGTGCCACAAATAGTTCCAATAAGATCATACAATATCAATAAGATATGACAGATGGTACTTCGTGTTCAGAAATCAACAACCCTAATACTTATCCTTTCGTTTACGTTCGAGTAGACTCAGAGAAGAAGTCACTTCATCCACCGTATGACTAACCGTACAAGGTCCTCAAACGCATGCTCAAATACTTCATTCTTGATCGCAACAGTATCAAGGATTCAATAAGCAACGACAGATTGAAACCAGATTACGTGAAACCTACGGCTACGTGATCACCGGAAACTACCACGAACCTGCCCATTTCCCCAACACCATCTTCGCCTTCTGTAATTACTCCCGACACCTCTCTATCCCCACCAGTACCTCCTCAACCCAATCCCTGTTTCACTCGTGTGGTCGAAGGGTTATTTTCCCCTCTCGGATGGTCGATTTTGTACATTTACTAATTATCGAGCATTTTCTTTACCTTTCGGCTCCCAACAAACGCTCTAGGGGAGGGGGGTGTAATGTGGTTCGCGTCATCGCCTAGACAGTTATCACATGAGGCGACGCGTACTGATCGGGTGCGGCGAACACTGCCAATAGCCAATCAGATGTTATCCTTTGTTTTATCGTATCCGCCATGTCGATAATGACTAAGCAACCGAGCATTAACACTACCGGCGTGTAACTTTCCTAATAAATGTGCTCCTCGTGTATTTGCCGTGTAAAAGTCCTAATTTTAATATTTATTAAAGTTTGTTCTTCCAAATGAAATAAATAAATGAAAGAAAATTTAAATAAGCAAAAGACTAACCAATGTTGACAGCAGTTTCCTGTTTGTCCCCTGTGAGTACCCAAACTAAGATCCCTGCAGAGAGCATATTGGCGATTGTTTGGGGGACATCATCCTGCAATTTATCCTCGATTGCAGTTGCTCCAACAAGTTCAAGGTTCTAGAATGAGAAATGAGGCTGTAGTAAAAGTGTTCCAATACGCCTTGAATTGGGATTATTATTTATGAGTTGTGGTGAATTAAGTCTATAGAATGAGTATCAGCAGCTCTAAACTACCCTCGAAGGTGCAATCGTGTTGAGTGACACGACAGCACAGAAAGAAGAGTGATATTGGGGGCAAATAGAGAGGAGCATACCTGTTCAATTTCTTCACAAACTTCATTCACAAGCTCAGCACGATTGGTGACAGCAATACTGCGTTCATAGTACTTTTTAGCCCAACTCTCATAATAAGCACGATCCAAACGACGGAAGGCTATGCAAAGGGTTCGAAGACCTAAACAAGTAAAAATATCGAAACTTGTACATGAGCACTTCAAACTGATTGATTCATCAGCCCAAATAAATCAATCATTACAATTTAATTGTTAAGTCATGGCTACCTATTTTAAATTAACTCACTGTGCATGACTTAGAAACACATGTCTGTTAATAATCTATTAGTTAAAATGACATATGAAAGAGACACCTCTTCGAGTATGGAAAATTTGGTACACTGGAGTCATAATTTTGTGACTGTGGATCAAGGGCTTAGCCATTGTAGGCTTTATTCTGTGAATTCTAACATTGTTGGTGACTCATAGCAGAAGGCATTAATTCTGACCCATTCTCAATATGCCAGATCATAGCCAATATATCAAATATCATGAGCTCTAACAACTTTATTGTTATCTATTGGAGATAATGACAATTCTAATAGATAAAATACGGTCTTTAAAATAAACACAATCTACTGCATTCATTTACAACCCATTGACACTATCAACGCTTACTAAGGCAAAGATAAAAAATAGATAAGAAGTCTAGTCCTTTCAGCATTCATGACTGACCTATTTTCGCAAATTCATCCATATGATTTAATGTTTCTTCTTTGAAATGCGCATCTTGTCCTAATCTTTCATAGATTGCTGTATCCTACAATTTAAACAAAAGATAATGGACGAATACGGCAAAGTTAAAAAGTGGTTCAATTACCCCCAAAACATCAAGTTCGGTTTATTACCGAAACGCAAATTACTTAATTAATTAAACATAAGGAGTACACAAATCGATCACTCTGAAATTCCAACTTCTCATTAAGGCTGAACAAAGAAAGTTAAGAAAACTGCAGTGATAAGAGGGTGATTATGGGAGAAATAATCGAAATAAAATTCCGATTGTGCACATGCAGAAGAAAAGTGAATTTGTTTGTGCGACTCGTCATAAGTGTTCCAATTTTTTCCTATAGAATTACTGCCGCATAAAATGTATTTGTCTGAGCACGATGAACAGAGAAGAAAGAATGGGTAAAAGAGAAATATTTTGGAAATGGTGTCAGCAAAGCACGTTAGAACAAGAAAACATCGGATTGAATAGAAAATAGTTCCAACAAAGATTAAAACTTTAGAAAATTGGAGAGACAGTGAACCATGTTAATGCAGAAGGCTATTAGCTCAGTTCCTGTCGCCACTTTAGGGTCAAAATTGTCAGTCTTATCTCAAACCAATCAATAGTACCCAGATACTTTACCAGTAAATAAATAATCGAAATTCGAAACGATGCTTATAACGCAATTCCAACTGCGTAGAATCCAAGGTGAAATCGAAGCGCACGTACAAGAACAACATTTTCAAATGTATCTTTTGTGCAATGGGTAATTAAGAGATGTAAAATATGGCTAAAAGTTTTACATTTAATAATGACAAGATCAGTAGAAAACCTCCCACTTTATCTTCGCGAAAACGACCTCATCATAATAACCTAAAATTTCATAAGTACTTAGTGACCTTGCACGAGAAATAGTGGCTATTTCACCAACATTACGGGAAAGTATATTATCCGCACAAAAATTTATTGGTGGAAATAAAACCTGTTTGAAAAGAAAATAAGCAGGAGACAATGGGAGGGGAGCATAATTACCCAAAAGGACAGAGGATAGGTAGAAAATGGATACCAATTACATATAACCACTAAAAAATGGTAACTATTAAATTTAAAAATAGATTCAAAACCAGCAATAAGTCCCATTAACGTAAAGTATTCCTCAGCAAGTATCCACACTCTCTAAGGAAGCAATGTGTGACAAGTGATAAAATATTGCAATAGAAGTTTAGATCTGGACTGCGTCTGCAATTAAGTTGTAAGCAGTCACTTACTATTTATGTGAAATAGAGTAAAAAAGTGACAAACGTGTTCTGCGAAAAATCCCAAATGTTCTGCACAAACATAATTATGAATATTTTAAGCAATGTTTAAGCTTGTTTCATTGATCAGTGTGCAAAGGCTTTGCTAAGGGAATCCCAACTTTCGTGCAAAGCAATGACAGCTAGGAGATGATGGAGGAATCACCAATACCCTCTATTTTAACCTAACTTCATTTAAAATGAACTTTCCAACTAACCACGGATGCACGTCTAGCCCTATTCACGTTTTCACCTGAATTAGCCAGCGAGGTTGTCTAACCGCTTCACTGGAAGCGACCTCTAGTTTAGCAGAGGCACATGTTGAAGCATGAGATTAGGATGCAGCTTTTATTTACCGCTATTTAAAAAAATAAGAAACTATATAGCATTTTAGACCGTGGAGGCATGCATAGTCCTCTTAGATGGCAAAATTATCTAACAACTTCTAAGACTATAAAAACGAAAAATCTCAACGAATACGTGACATAGAGAGGGGTATGTAGAGCATCTAGGACAATACGTACTGGGGAAAAGGAAGAGAGAAGTTTGACAATTTCAGTCCAGGAACAATTAACTTCTGCACGATTTGAATGGCGATTGGTGTCTATGGTGCACTTAAAATCTTTCTGTTGTATATATATATAATGGAAATATGTTCAGATATGTGGATATGTCATCTAACAGCAAAACAAAGCATACACTATGCGCAAAATATGTTTCAACGAAGGACTTGTGATGCCAATCATCTTTAAGACTACAGAAACCTAAATTGAACGACATGCAGCTAATCACCATCAATATAAATGGTCAAGAAAAAGACAGGATCGGAAAATGCTAACAAGCGTAGAAATTTTCACATTATCTTTCTAATATTCTCTACTCAAAAGTAGAATAGTGAAAAAGTGCAAATAACCCTGGCGCGATGAGGACATAAGCATAAGGATGAAATAAGCACATAGAATACATGTTGCCTAAAAATGTGAAAGAAGTGCTCTACTCACGTAATCACATGTTTGGTCACCTTTTTTTCTCAATTCAGGAAAAGTAAATAGATAATTTCAGGACAGCTTAGAGATGATGATGATGATGATGAATACCGCGTGCCTAACTCTGACGAGAGCTTTGTGAACTTTGGAATGAACAATGATTCAGCTAAGAAGTCAATGAATTTACATTTTTTTGGGTTAAGTGCCAATCCACTTCTGAGTTTAAGAGTATGCTAGGATTAGAGAGAAAAAAAACGCATGATTTGTTAAGTACGTTAAATAAGTTGTAAGTTAACGTGACAACAGTTGACATTGTTTTCATGAATAAGTGGACCAATTTAGTTAAAAGGTGAAACGTACGAGGTGACACACAACTGCTATAAAAAACTAGCATGTCAAAAAAACAGGTAAATTAAATTAAATTGTGTAGCTTTCTTTCACATCATCAAGTGTTAGCCAATGAATCGTATCCAAAAAAATGTTACTTTCTAAGGGATTTGAACACACATACGCAAAATAAATAATTCAAGGATCGAAAATGTGCATGTCATAATTAAATAGTACAGGTCAATAAGGCTTAAGAAGGAACGTTGGCAAGGAGTAAGTGTGATTCAGGGGACGAGGCGTGGAAACCGAATTTTGGAATGTGAACTATAAGTAGTTTTAGCGAACAATGTAGAATCCAAATTCAAGAATTAAGTGAGGTATGACTTATTGATACATTGAAATTAACCTTCGCATTTTATTGCCTGCCTATTGTTTGTCATCTCTACTCCAACTGCTTCCCACTATTAAAACCGTACACTTTATGCAATACTGTGAGTAATAATATTGATGATTAGAACCATGAATTAAGCGATCAATAAAAAATGCGTTTTCTAAACCGACAAGCGTGAATTAAGAAGCGATATTACAAATAGTCTAAATCATAAAGTTAGAGCGTAGAAAGATTAATCAACATGAATGATTTATAGATTTTGTAGATTAAATCCTCAAGGAATTCACTCACCAATAGGCTATCTGTAGCAGAATAGTGGGAAATGGAAAAATAACACACTCAGATGTGCCCGATATCAAACTCCGACATGACGGAGAGATGAGTGAAATGGTAGTCTCGTACTTTTCAGTGTTTTACTTTGGAGTATCTCAGCTTTTTCGTACACCTATAGACCTCTGTCTTTTCACAGTAACTTGCCTTCTGTATACTTATTAATAAATACTTCAAACACATATTTTGAAATAAAAACAGAAGCCAATGCAATTTTAAATCAACCGCCAATAGGCATCAAAGTGCTAAAGCACCTTGACAATGGGAATGAGCTTCACGAACAATAATTATTTTGAGGTTTTAAATCAACGAAATTCAAGTTATGTTCACTCTGACATTTCTATATCCCCACATCATCAAACTCGTTGTTGACCAATTTTCTGCAAATCATGGAAAATCACAATAATTGAAGAGGATGGAGGGGGAAGGGGGAAAGACTTACTGCGCCTTTGACCATGAGGAAGAGTTTGCCTTCTTCATCCTCCACAATTACACTCATTCGTTTCCTGTCACTGGTGAACTCAATGACATTCAAAAGTTTGAATTGGTGCTTTTCGCCTTTCTATGAAAAAAAACAAAAAGATTAACAATGAATTTCATGAAAGAGGTGAGTATTAAGCACCAGTATCTATGGCGAAATTAATTTACCACACGAATAGTGACAGAATCGGGTTCTCGTTCACAGAATACGTAACCCAGAGATTTTGCAGCCATCACTAAGGCTCGTTCATCTAAAAGGGGAGGGAGAATTGTACTGGATTAACAGTAGATACAAGGGACTATCTAGAACTGCGATACCATACACTACGAAGTTTAATAAAGCTTTAAACCTACCTACTCAAAATTTACAAAGGCAATGATAAGGACGCTAACCCAGCAACACGCAGCCAATTTTTCGATTAATTCTGACATTAGCACAGTGATCCAAATCGTAGGCAATCTAAATCTTCTTTCCCTCGCTTAAAACTACTTGAAATAGAACTCCGCAAAATTTCACAACGAACACAATACAACAAAACTGCCCCACAAAAAGTCTCGGGGGAAGGAGAGTCAGATAGTAAATGGAACTTATTCTCGACATGCCAGGATATCAAAGGTCTTTGTCTCAACTAGATAAAAGAGAACAAAAGAGTTCTCGGAAAATGAATCGAAGAGTCACTGAGAACTGAACGACCAAATACTTCGAAATATACGCAAAAATAAACTTGCACTTTACGACGATTCCAATTACCTGTGTTTATGTCAAAACGTATGTCACATAGGTACCACCAATAGGGTGTTTATACTAATCTACCTATTTCTGGTAAGACGCAAAAAATTCGTTTTGATGACTGGTTAAAATACCAGACTCAAGACGTCTGGTTATAAATAAAATTTGATCATTATATCAACGACACAAGGTTATGTATATCCAACCTCTTAAGATAATCTGAATTAAAGGCGTATTCGACCAATCATGCTTTAATTCAATGATAGATTAACTCCAAATGGCGACACATATCACCCAATTCGAGAAAGAATTCAATGGCAGTATCGAAGACAAACATTATGGTAATGAATTTCAAATAACCTGGTGAGGTAGCTTGGTAGCGGATATCATCGCGATCAATGTCCACGTCTACGTATTCGGGTATGACAGTATGACAGACAGCGAGGATGGTGAAAAACCAGTCCACATCACGGTCACCCTCAGCCAATTTGGTGAGTAGTCGCCAGTCTTGAATGGCCGTCGCCTCTTGATCCTCAAGTCTATAGAAGGCGAAAAATGATTAAACAGAATCCAATTGAAGTAAAGACTTATGGCAACCAAAGGAATAAACGACAGTAAATTCCTTATTAATTCATCTGACTCCCTATCAATGAAATTCGTTCTGTCCCACCTTCCACACCAAGGGCAAATTTACTTCCATAATAGGTGTGAGACAGATATCACTAATTCGCTGTTCTCCAAATAGTTTTTTACTCAAATGTCATTTTATTCTTACCTCTAAACGATAAAGTTCATTTTCTAACTCTCATATTCATTAATGGAGAAGCATCATGGATCTTAATTGGCAAGACTAATTTACATTACATCCAACTTAGCATTATTCTGCAAAGCAATGCTTTTTTCCTAGCAAACATGAATCCACTGCTAGCACATTGGACTCTTTCAAGTCCTCGGGGATCGAATCAAGTGAAATAAACTTTAAAACATTTGGCGTGATACAGTGAACTACATCCACTACGAAAAATGGACAATTAGTGCATTCGGAATAAAAATAGTTTCATCAACTAGAAATCACACAACCACAAGTTATAAACGTCCCACCCCGTTTCGGAAATATCTACCGGTCATCAGTGTTCAGACACCTCCGTACAATAAAGTTCTTTAAATACATTTTCAGCCAATAAAACTGAAGTAACGAAGTGAAGTAACGAAATTTGAATAAATACGTTGACGCATGAATTGCAGCGTACAAAATTGACACAATAATTGCATAAAATAACAAGTTGACAGCCAAATTATGTATAGCGTGATTACCGTGATCATAAAAACACGAAAACCGGATTTGCACCCTTAATCAACGCTACTTGGCAAGCAGCAGGCTATGACCAAATTATACTTTTAAAGGTCAAATTAAAGTTAAGCCTGCTGAAGTCCAATCTAGTTCTTTACAGAGTAGAAAAAGCTGCATCAAGATTGAAAGTACAGATTGGGTGACTCGCATACACTGCAAAGAGCACTCCTCGAGTGAGACGGTCGAAATTCCCACACTTATGTCCTGGCGATGTGCTACATTCCTCAACAATTGATTTAAGGAGTTAGGTCGAATTAAGCTAGCTAAGTGGATTTGATTACCACTGTAGTAAGAAAAGCCTGGATAAGTAACAAGGGCAGATGGTGATAAAATCATTAAATTTAGAATTTAGCTGCCACTTATCTATCTTTTTTCCTGATGAGGCTAGCCAAATCTATCCCACAGTAAGTATTCGCCTATCTTTCTCCATTGGCTAAAGTGCTTCAATGTATCTATCTAATTCCACTCAACCCTTAGTCCACTGAATTGGAAAAAGCTGTCGGTACCTAGACTTACCTCTAAGCGGTGCGCCCCGGGCAACGTATCCTCATGCGGCAAAAAGTCTATAAACCGACAGTTGACTTCTGACTTCAAAAAACCATGACCCCACTGTGTGTCTTATTCGATCACTTTCAACATACTTATCCTACCTTTTCTCTGTCTTTGTGACTGTCTGACTCTTTTGCATATTTGAATCACTCTTCTGTCCCCCCTCTCCACTTTTTCTCACTTTGATGTTTCTCCTTCCCCCTATGAAGCCCGAAGTCAGCTAAAGGGCAAATGATAAGTATCATAAAGTCCACCATTTGAAATAAATAAATAAATACCTAGGAAGATAATTACTTCAATTGGAATAAATCTCTAAGTCTATAAAGGTCAAACTTATGAAGTAACTCTACTGCAACTTTATTCAGAGCTCTTTTCGCAAAATAAATTAATCGAACAATTTAAGCAATCAATCTTGGAGCATTACTACTTGATTGACACTTTAATGAGGAGGAAGTGGGAAGAGGGTATGGTGACAGCGAGATTCACATAGAGTTGGACAAAATCAACCACAATTTTGGACACATAAATTGCTTAGCAAAGCCCAGTATATTTTAGCAATGGCCGCTTTTACTTTCGCCCAACTGGTCAATGGACATCGTGGGGGACAGAAAAAAATACTATTTATATATGAATTAAGTAATATCAGAGATAATTGCATTACAAAGCATCACATTTGCATGCTCAATTCAATCGATAAAAAACATTTATAATTTGTTACAATAAACACTAAAACTCGAAAGAGGAGAGAAATAACTGCCTGTAATTAAATTTATTTAATGGAAATAACAATTGGTGAAATCTGAATTAGCCTTAGAGAAACGTGTGTGCCAAACAGTAGAAATTAAAATCGCATTAAATGATAATTTGCTCAAACATAAATAAGCATGCATATGCTCAATTGGAGGGCTATCAGTTCTAACCATATATGGCCATATGGATATTCATTGTTTTTCAAACTAAGGAAACAATCTATTTCTGATTCGGGATAAGATTTAACAATAAACACAAAGGAGACAAGGAAGCTGTATTATAAGGATTAATCATGGTTCTATTCGCGTGATAAGTAGCACTGAAATAATAAAAAGTGCAATAGAGAGAATTTTCGCGATGAAACTGAGCATTAGTGAAACAGTATTTACTGATATGCATCAACACATATGAAAATGGATGCGTCGCCTAAAATGTGCACTGCCAACAAATTATTTTCAGCATACAAAAACGTGGTGAAAAATAGGGTAAAGTTGTTATGTCAAACTGGTAAATTGGAATGAAAGGGAAATTAGTGAGTTCGGAGTAAAGCTAAGCCTATAGAAGATACAAACTCACGAGTTCTGGAATTTACTTATTTCAAAAAAAGTAATATAGTAATAGTGGTTCCGAAGCCTATATAGTGGGATAATGAAGTAAAATACAACAAACTCTGCAGACACATACCTAAGTGGGATTATTGGAGAATACAAAGAGACAAACTATAAACTTGGACCAAAAGATCAAATTTTGTTAATCTTTTAGTGATAATAAAAGTTTATTATTCGCTTAACCTACGATGGTATGCTCCACAGTTTCTGAATGAATAGGCTTCGCCTTAGTAAAAACTGTAGTTTTTAAAACACTATTGCGTTGCAAATTACAATATAAGGAAAAATTTTATGGCAAAAAATGACTTCTTCCTGTTCATTTAACCGCCTCTCCGAAAGCGGATTAGAAAATCGTGTAAATGAAACAGATGGCAATGCTACACCTAAGCCCAAAGTGGTGGGAGAAGGTCAATTAGGTCATAGTGAGTTCACGTCAGGTCACTTGGTAGGATTGAAAATTGTGTTTTTAAAAATCGATATACAAGTACAACTGAACAACAGTAAATATATAGCCACCAACACACCGATTTCAGTATATAAAAATAATTACAGATTATAATCAACTTTCAATTACTTTAATGGATTCGTACCCCATTCAAAATAAGAAATCCCAGAGTCCGCCTTAAGCATCAAAATAATGATGGAAGAGAATGAATTTGGATTGTAATCGAGAGTTATTAGAGAAGAAGTCATAGGTAAGAGGTCAAGGCTTTGGTGCTCATCGCTGTGCACCAAAATGAGGGGAATGGTCAGCAAGTAATAAAGAAAGGGCCACACTTCGAGATTTTCAACATGAAGGTTGGGTAAAATTATTGCCCCACCCAAGATCAGTGCCGAATAAAGCGTTAGAAGGAGGAATTGGGAGGCATTTACAGATTTTAAAGAAACCATCGATATGAACGATAATGAACACCTCGCAGTGTATACTAAAGATTAAAAGCTTAAATACAGCAGTTTAAATGATCACAGTCTACTCACCCATAGGCCTCTCGTCCAATCGAACACATCTTAAATTCCATGACATTCTTAGTAAGAGTTCCAGTCTTATCAGAGAAGATGTACTTAACCTAAGAGAATACGATTAGGCAATTAGAATGTATTTTCATTTTCCATAGAAGAGAGGATTAGCAAGAGACACATACTTGGCCCAGGTCCTCGTTGAGATTTGAAGTTCGCGCCATTGCTGGTGTGTCCGTCTTTGCATCGTACATGTCCAAGTCCTAGAAGGAGACACGAAAGCAATACAACACATAAGATTGAGGAACCGGTATGGCACACGAGGTTATACCCATCCATGCGGATCTCATTTTCAGTGATGAAATTATGCCAGAAGCAGACACTACTCAGCACATGATAATAATGAGTGATAACTGTTAAAGCTGGATATTAGGGCATGATATCCAAAGGAATTCCTAACTCCCTTTTTGCCTAATTGATTAATGCAACCTATAGTCACTTTTGGCAATTTATCCATAGCCATAGGGGGTGCTCACAAAGATTGGCATTCGAGAAAAAGGAAGGGGGGTTTCTAGAACGGAGAGTATGACAACTCCACTTTATAAAACATTTAATCAGTGGTTGGCTACACATATCTATCAGTTTTTTCAACAACGAACAGGGCTCTATTAGTCATTTTGCACAAAAGTGATTAGTCACGTTAAGCACTGTTTCTTTCGGGAACTTTAAGACTTACACATTCATGCTACTCCACTAATAAAACCACCATCGTATAAGCTATGAGACCACCCACAATAACCATTCAAATTTCGATAATAGCAATTACAGATCTAGGAATTGTAAAAACTCACCCAATTAATGAAAAGCGCCTGAACAAATCGGACGACTTCAAGGGTGACTTGGAGACTGATTGGAATTATGGTATGGAAGATTATGAAAGCAGTGATGCACATGTAAAACGCACTCATCCAGGTCAATTCTACGAGGAGAAAGAATAAGAAGTTAGAAAAATGGTGGAATCGCGATTTAAGAAAGACTACTCTAACTTGGAAATTTCAAATATTGCGGATTATTTGACTCCTTAATTTACTCCGACTTTCTTAATTTTTAGCTTAACAGTTTGGTAATGGCGTTTACAAGTTGGATAGAGGGAGGAAATGATGTCAATTTCACTTAGCATAAAGGAACCTTTTCCCACTTCTTCAATTACAATTCTCCCGTCTATCCTTCCTATTATTCACTAAATGCGTAAACCAATTCAACTAATTTAGGAAAGATTATTGTGTCCCGTTCAGCCTTGAGTTCTGCAAGAGGATATGTAGTCTAGAATTAGGCCAACAAAGGGGATAGATGTACTGACGGGGATAGTTGTGCTATGAAGACGACTACCAAGTGTAACTAGGAGGCAGGAACCTTTGCATTAATTAAAATACGAAAAAGACTAATTTCGCCTGTCAATCCACAGTTCCAAAGACCTCAGTAAACCAAATACACAATTTGAACATCTTCTGTTCCAATTTATGGTGTACACTAAATTTTAGCCAGCATCTCAGTTAATTAATTTTAAAATAAGAGCCAACATGGCCCAATGACATGTGAAAGCAGTCAACTCCTCTTCATTAGCCTGACTCAACCAACATGGTAAAACATTTCATTTACTGAGTGTGAAAAGGTTGGCAACAAACCAATGGCCTCAACCTTCATGGATGAGCACATTAGTTTTGGATCACACTAGAACCGATAATGAACCTTCAATCGTAAAAACATTAATTTCACAATTACAACCCAACTGCACTTAAAATCCAACCTTATTTGAACATGGTACTGGCAAATATTTTGAGACTAGGAACTGAACGCAATTAGAGCCCGGAAAGGACATTCCTTTGCTATACCCGAACAAAAGTAAAACAATCTGATGTTCCACACACTTACAATAACTTGTGATTTAAGAATCGGAGCTTTAACTGAGTATAGAAACAACTTTTTTCAAAGAGTATCAAATATTATGGCATTGGTGCATGAAAGAGAACTTACCAACTCCACCGAGGTACCACATTTTTTCTCCAGTGGCTTTCGTCCAAATTATATTTGCAAAGACCATAAAAACTGTGAGAAAGGCCAGCAGACCGAACAGTACCAGGATCTAGTAGTAGAATGATTGAAAAATATGCATTCACGAAGCTTCCAATTGAAAAATTTGTCCATATTCATAACCACAATACTTGAATACACACGCTTATTTAGATGTCATTTTATTTATTCAAACTACTCAAACTATTTAGAAAATCACGACTTAACAACCAGGGTTAATTTAGCGTTCATCTCCAAGAGACAAATATCAAATCCTCATTAACATTTCATTAAACACTGACAGAGTAAATTCTACATCAACGTTTTAGCATTTGATGTACATCGGTTCTATATAAACACATAGAAAACAGATGCTGCAGTCCTAAAACCAGAAACTACGTAATGTTAACAAATGAGAATGACAACTGATTAACCTAACAGTAATAGACAATCCGAAGTTCAGTTCTTAACTATCATTCAAATGGTTTGAGTCCACCAACCAAAAGATTGAGTTAAGAGATTGATCGGAGTATTCTTACAACGGGTTCAAGCCATCGTATATTCTAACAGCAACATGCTTCACCAACCGCCCATAAGATAGTTGAATTACCAGTGCACTCAGAAAAGAAGATCAAACTCACATAAAGAAATTAACAAAGTAAAACATCAATGCCCATTTCACCAAATGTGACAATAGACCTCGTGTAAGAGTATCGTAAACAACCTTACACTATCTTGAAATATATTAACTATTTCGTGATTTATGGACTTATTAGCCAGAACAACAGTATTCAATGACTATAGCACATATTAACAATTCAAATCTCACATAGTAGTTAGTCTGTTTATCCACTGAAGAGCGTTTCAAAGGTGCAGCAGTTGAATTGAGCATGACTTTCGACTCCCTTCCAGTATAAACAACAGCACCTAGAAAAAGAGCAAAATGGAACAATTAATAAGATGACAATAGTTTGAAGTGGACATCTTTCAAAACCAACCCACCGAAAACCCAATTGGTGTTTTTCACCGTAGCGCCGCGAAGTAATACTTGATTGCTATCCAATGGATAACCTCTTAAAGTGCAAGAAAAGTGCAACCAAGTTGTTTTCAAAGAAAATAGCAGGCGAAACAGACATAGGAATAGCTAAATCTTACGTATTCTTCTCATCATACAGCGTTCCCACAAACTCATCAAGAGTTCGGGTCGGCTGTTCACATTCAATTCGAATATGGGCTTTACGCAGTAATTCGGCAGTAATTAGTCCAGATGTAATTGTTAAACCCTAGAAGAAAACAGAAAAATTGGGCAATTCAATGAACCGATATCCATATCAAGAAAAAGATGCGGCACGAGTTATGCTTGTAAAAATTTAATCATGTATAGCCGAAGAACAGGATAATTATCAAAGAAAAATGGAAACTTAAACACAAGGTTAGATGTATATATTTCTGTGCATTTAGAAACAACGAATTTCATAGTTAAAAGAAGTGCTAAATTGAAATGAGTTGGTACGAAGAAACCTACGACCAAAAAGGTCTCAAATCTTATCTTGAGAATGTTATCTCTCTATCACCCAACAATAACCAGCAACTATGAGTATTCTTATAAAAGTTAAGTAAAAGGAAAAAATGCTAAGACACAGCATAAATTTAAAGGGAAGATCTACTGGATTAAAAAGGAAAACCTTATTCGATTATATCAAGAAACAGGACTTCGATCTATAGAATTACGTCATAAAACTGAGATTAAACTGGTGGAAAACGCACTTGTCGAAGCTTAAGCGTAGTTTCACCATCCAGGTTGGACGTTTCAATGTAGCACATAGACATGGGTTCGCCTGTTGCCAATATTACCAGATCAGCAGGGATGCGAGAATTGCTTGTCAACTTCACAATATCTCCAACTTGTACATCCTTCCAAAGTATTGTTTCCCAACTACCATTTCGTAACACTACATTGTCATAAATTAATAAAAATCCATTAATGATAAGCATACCATGAGTCTTTGAGTTATTTGTGGCCTTGTCAGCTTTATGTCGTGCCTAAATGGAAAGGCACCAGTAAAAATGGTGGTGGAAATGTAACATACATAATCCTCAATAATTTCTTTGATAGCGGAGACACAAAGGATGAAAGTGAGAGGAACTACAGTTGTAAAACGACCAGTCGGGGACACGCCTGGAATTTGCTGAAATTAATCCATAATATTCGGCTTTAAAACACTCACTTGGAAAAGAGCGACAATTAGAAAGAAAATATTGGCATATTTCCGGAACTGTTCAAAGAGGAATTTGGGGATAAATGTAACAGTCGAATACTTTCCAGTACTAAAGAAGAAGTTAAATAAACCAAATGCTAATCTTACCTAATTGAATTATTGCAAAATTTTGTTTGGTTTGATCGATTGACAAATATAACACGTTCTTTACCAGCATTCGGTGAGGACATTCTACTATCAAGTGACTGATAGTTTAAATCATTTGATAAATTTGTCCATGGGGATACATTGTCTGTGGCATCTTCAGCTTCTCTCATGACAACTGATAAGCCGTAGTGTACAATAAACGAAAAGTAAATACTTGAAAATAATAAACATCAAAATAAAAGCTCGAATATACTATTTAAGTTTCCTATTATAAGCAATCGCTTTAACCAAGTTAGTAAAAGTATGAAATTAATATAAGTACATAAAGTGTAATAAGTGAACCAAAATAGAATATAATGAAATAGACACTTATAAGTAAAAGCTGCACGTACTTAAGACATATAGCCCAATCTAGAAGCACAGGCGATCAGTTGGAAAAGAGATGAGAGAAGCTAAGTGAAGGCAACTATACCCCTGACAATGGCTAGCGCTTAATTCTACCTATTAAACTAACTTTAGTAATGTCGATGCAACCTTGAGGTCAATTGATTACGTATTTAAAAACAATCAGTATTTCCTGTTTTGAGAATTTTTAATTAATATAATATCTTTTAGGTGGTATTTATTATATTGAAGTATATCAATTAAATAAAACAAAAAAATTTAAACTAGATTTTCAAAATTATTTGGTTCTTTTAAATGTTATTTTTATATATTCCGCTAAATGTGTCGAATTCAGCACTTGAAAAGTTAAATTAGGTGATTTAGTGGCAAGTTAATTTGATTAATTGTAATGGGCCTTGTGAACAATAGTGATGATCAAGGCAAATAAACGAATTTGCAAAATTAGCTTTTACTATATTACGGGGATTGATGTGAATCCAATCTAATCTTTAGGTTAGGCGATGGTTTACTTTAATTTCGATTTAATATTAAAATTATTCTCTAAAGCTAAAAAATGCTCGATTACTCGAATACACTGCTATTTTGCAAACACTATTTATATTTGCTGGACTTCATTTTTGGCTTATACATCGCCCATAGATGAACTTGGAACAGAATAACAGAATTAGAAAATTGTAGGCAGTAAGTTCCTATAAAAGCCCAAGATTCTTTTATTCAGTGTTGTCGTCCCAATTTCGCTTATCATTATTAGATAAATACTCAGAATTGTCTCTTAGTATGGGCAAAGAGGGAAAGATTACTTTTCCTTGGACCCCAAAAGGAGTACGCAACAAAGTTAAATTTTTCCATTAGAAGGAGCCTTAAAAATTATGTGTGCTTGTTTTTAGTCTATGTCGGTTAGTCGATACATGGTTGATACTTAAATCTATGTAATAATGCGAATTCTATTCAATTTAAAAATTGTTTGTGTTTGTAAAATTAACATTGCGAATTTTAGTCTGTTAGATTATGCCGAGTACATAACGTAGTGTATAAATTAATAAAAAAAGATAGATTGATTGTTACGTTCTTCCCAATTTGCGACATGATTATTTAAAGTTATATAATTCGTTCTAGTTGACCCTGGAACATATTACTGTATTATAAATCGCATAAACACACTTTTAAAGCTAATAAAAGGACGTAATATTGAATAGAATTTAAACAGCTTGTGAAGGAGCGGAAAATAAACCTAATATTAAAATCTCAGAAAGTTTGAAAAAATTTATTGCAATATACTCGCAATTAATTCTAAGAAATTTCTTTCTGCATGCATTTAAGGAATATTTCATACGAAGAGGCCGACTGAAATGTTTGCAATTTGTCCCTCAAAATAATATCTTTGATGATTCTTCTTTGCTACTCTCCATTTTCGTTTTATGAAAACTTGAGGAAAATTACTAGAAATGTAAAAGCGAAATTAAAAGAGTGCTTCTACTCTGATAGTTTTGATTATATTTATGCAAATGATAAGGAGAAAATAATATAAAACTTGAAGGCAATACGAATATGAAATCATCATATATCAATATGCGGTTAGTTGGGCCTATTTTCCACAGCGATTGTTAATTTATATTTTTAATAGAATAGGGTGAAATTTTAATATTTAATTTGTATAGACACTTATAGTTCTGATTTAACAGGCAAATTTAGAAGGTCAATCTTATTGCAAAGCGATGGAAACATATAATGTCGTAGCCATGTAACAATCACTAGTCGAATGATATCATTAAAGCCCAGATTATTAAGTCCCTTCCATTTTGAGATTCAAATGCCAGAAACGAAGATATTGGCTTTTACTTGTTATTTTTAGGCAAATCGAAATATAAATCTCAGTGAAGTTCATTTTATATCAAAACATCGTGAAAAACTGAAAATTAATAATAAATACGATTAATAAAAATAATGAAACCGAAATTGAATAAAAATAGTCAAACATTATTTTAATATTCTGGACACGTTGAAGCATACTTTTAACCATCTGTAATAACCAATAGACATCGAGATATCTCTATCCGTGCCTCAGATTTATTAATTTCATCTTGATCGTTTTCCATTCGAATTTAACTATGATTTCTAACAATTATTATCAACCTGAACATCATAACTATAACCCTGGCTATTTTGAACCCAACAACGTGTAGGTGAATTGCTTAAAATGATTTATTTTCACGCGTATTATTTTTCAAAATTTTAACATTTTTTCCCTTAAAGTCAATTTTCGCACTTTACCTACGGCGAATCTTCAGAGCCGAAAGCTCAGAATCCTTATTTCCAACCAGCTCCTATAGATGGAACTCTAAATGGCCAATTTAATTTCGATGATGAACCTCCACTTTTGGAAGGTGCTTAACATTTTAAAACTTGCTTTTGATATTTTTCTTGCAACAATCTTTCATTATTATCTTTTTCTCTAGAACTTGGAGTTAATTTCAGTCACATCATTCAGAAGGTGAGTCCAATGTCGCCCTTGTCTTTATATTATGTTACTAATTACACATCAGTAGTTTTCACGAAAAGGATTTCCCCTAACTTACTCTTTTTTACTTTTTGTATGAATCTTAGTAGAAGGGTTTACTGAATTGGCGGTCGATTTGTTTTTCCCTTCTAAGCTATGTCAGATGGTTCTTTAGAGGTTAATCCAAGTAAAATTTTATTAAAGACGAATACAAGTGTTTCTGTTTCTAAAATTTTTTTGATCCTGAAGCATTAAAGCGTCTAGCATTAGGTGGAAGCAACGGCTAATTTAATCTCAAATGGTATGATGTTTGGATAGACTTGTTTCCTAAACATTGAGCTCTTCTAATAATTCGCATTCTTTGCTTTCGTGCTGGCAGCAGCGTGCTGGTCTTCTTTCTTAAAACAAGTTAGATGATCATTTAAGTGAAAATAGCCCTGGGGTAACGTCGTTATACTCGTCTCTAGGGGGTGCCTAATTTACTCAACACGAACAACTTGTAATGTCTCCGTCTCAATTTTTTCCTTTTTTTGTTGTCATTCGTTTAGCTCTTTTTTGCCCGTTGATTATTAATGCCTTGAGTGTCGTATCTAATGCAGATATTCAAATGTGAACCAGAGTTGTATGGCTTTTTATTTTACTGATATCACTTGTATCATTTGATTAAATCTTTATAATCGGTGTTTAATGGTTAGCTTTTTTATTTTTATCATATATCGCCCTCATTTTTGCTATTAATTTCTACTTATTACTCATTTTCTCCGAAATAAAGCAACGAATTTAGTTCTGTTTATTTTTTCACATATGTGATTATTTTTACTTAGGTATTTTGTGTACTGTCTAAATTTGATTTCTCCCTTAAATCTGATTAAATAAAAATTCGATATCGTCACTCTTATTAAAAGGCCCTTAAACATTTTTCAGGCCATTCTCTCGTATTTTCTACCAATTTTAACCAAGAGAAAAAACATCATAGAGAAGGACTGAGATCATGGAAGATTGAAATGGATCTTCAAATGGGAGCTGTTGATATTGCTCCAATGTGGTTGTGTTTGCTTTGGCGATGTCCTGTTATATATTTGCTCGCAAATGTGCTAATAGTGGAGGCCAGTAATTATTTTTGAGGTAGTGAAGCTGGGTAGAGGAGTAAGCTTGAGTTAAATATGCCATACAATAATCTCATTGGAACTATTTGGCTTTCAGCGGAGTTCTATGCAGATATCGTTCCGACGCTGATAAAGATTGACTTTGTTCCGCTATGGGGGCATTACGATATTTCCTTACGGTTGAGTTTATCACTTGCTAGTCACAGAGTGTTACTTTCTGAGGACTGCACATTTCATCATTGTCTTTTTCACATCAGATAGATTCTGGCTCTTATTTGACCGGTATGCACAATTTACTTTATACTTTTTGCATCTGCTTTAATAACATGGGCAATCTTATTCGGCGCAATTTCACTTTTAGATTTAAAATTTTAAAGAGAATTATCATTTTCCCTTTAAATAAGTTCCCTTACCATCATTTCATTCTCTCCGCTTTCTTCTAATTTATTTGTGTCTGTCAGTTATTGTATAAATCCATTTAATCAAATACCACATCGCCGCAGTCTAATGGAATTGCTTTCCTTCTCACTTTCAATTAATTCAGGAACAGTTTTGTAAACATTTCTCGATCATACCCCCTTTTTTCTATTGCTTTAACTCACAACAAAGGCACAGAAAATCAAATTATTTTTTTAATTTTTCGATAAATTGTAAGGAAAGAGAGTGTTGGGTAGGCATTGGTGGTTCTTTTAAAACTGCGGAATTTCATTCATTTCTTCTGTGCAGAACCAGTTTGCAATTGGTGGTGGAATAGGTTGATAGTGTAATACTCCTGAAAATTGTGTCAAATCTTCTGTACCTGGTGCATCATCAAGTCGAAGTCCTTCAGTGAAAGTAACACCTAGAGAAGTATCGAAAGTCGATATTAAGTCGCTCAATCGATTTAAATCGGGTTAAAAATTTGACCATTAAAGAAACATCTTATTGAGACTTTCATGACTGTCTGATGAGAAAATGGTCCCCTATCACTTTCGGAGTTGGATATTCATTAATGAGTGTAGGCCAGTCTTGCACCACCTACATACACTTAGGCTAAAAAGATATGTTTAGTTCTATGAATAAAATTTTATGCAATGCTTGGGCTAGCGGAGAATTTTTGGAAAAGGTTGGCAGCTATGATCTATGGAACTCTCGACGTTTTTTTCTCAGCTCTGTTGATGAAGCGGTGAAATCAGCTTTTTGTCCTGGCGATTTCATCCCACTTTTGCATATCTGAAATATCCACTAAGTTGGAGATCACAAACTACGCAGTCAGTGGTTGGATTTCTCTTGACACGCTGACCAGCAGTCTAGTCTATGATACCTTCCCACAATCCAGATATGGCTCTTGTCAAACTAAACTCCAAGCATTTGATTATTACACGATAATGTTAATGGGATATAATCTTACTATTCTTTTGCTCTTTCATTATAATTCTCCTCGGCTCCTCTCTGTCTGTTGTTCGTTCATTCCTGGCACAGTAAAGTAAAACGCCAAGTAGGATCAAACTGATGAATAATACACCTCCAATCACAACTAATGCACTGGTTAGTGCAAGTCCATATCCTCGTAGCCCGAGTTCCTGCTCTTTCTCCTGATATCCCACTCGTAGTCTAAAGAGAATTTCATCCCTTCCTCTAGCATTTTCAGCCTCGCATCTGTAGACGCCATCTTCCAGCCCTTCGCGTGTTTCTTTTAAGGTCAGATTGGTCGCTGTTAAGTAGTCTCCTATCACTCTTTCCGCGACACCTTGTTTGATGACTTCAGAAATCCCCTCATTATCTCGGAACCATTGAATTTTTCCCCGGGGTTCCGAGTAGAAGTGGCATACCATTGTGACAGTTGATCCTACTTCTACATCTGTTATTCCATTTCCAATGGTCTTTTTATTTAGTGCTATCGGAGCACACTGAAACTCCGTTAGGGGCAGGGTCGCAATGCTTCGTTGTTTTAACTCCTTGGGGTTAGAGCAAGTTGCGGTAGCATTAGACTCCCGTACTAATCGAGCAAACCAAGTTAGGTGGCAATCACAATTCCACTTATTCCCTTCCAAATTTAACTTCTTTAAGTGCTTCAATGAGCGTATTTCGGCCTCAAGGTATGGTGGAAGGCTTTCAAATGAGTTATTTGCAAGGCTGAGATTTTTTAACTCTGTTATTTCTCCCATGGATCCTGGTTGAAATATCAAACCTGGTAGGGTGCTTTCAATACGAAGTTTAACGAGACTAGGTGGGAAAAAGCCCGCAGGTAACTGACCAAGGGGGTTTTCGGACAAGTCGAGTTCTTTCAGGTGTTTCAATTGAAGTAAAGCTTTGGGCGAAAGACTGCCTGGTTGAATGAGTAGACTATTTGATCTTAGTAGAAGACGTTGAAGATTTTGAACAGATTGAAAAGCAAGATCAGTTATTTTCCAAAGACGGTTTCTCTCCACACGAAGACAAGTGAGAGCTGGATAGGGACGCAGTGCGTCTTGATGAAGGATCTGAATAAGGTTAATTGAGATATCTAGAGCTGTTATAGCTAGACGGTTTTTAATCGGTGCGCCGATTGGCAAGGGGACTTCATTGAGGCTACGATTTCGACAAGCATATAATCCCGAGGTAGGTGGGGGTGGGCATCTAAGAGTGGAAATTTTCTGCCAGAAAATTGCTACGATAACCAAGATTTTAAACATTTTTGTGACTAAGTCAAACTCTCAAGACGTTTTATTTCCCTTTATTTCAACTCATTTCCTATTGGTTAATTTTCCACTGTTTTCTGATTTGTTTATGGTGAATGAGTGCCTGTCCAATGGTTGATGAAGATATACGTAGTTATGAATGTTGCCTTTTGTGTTAAGCGTCTTTTTTACTTTTAGACATTAAATGTGCTTAACCCTATGCGAGAAAGCCCTCAGGAAGTGCTCGAGGACACCGATCTTGCTGGTCCTCTTGTATTTTGTCTAATTTTCGGCGGAACTCTCCTTTTGGTTAGTTGTTTTTTTACATCTGCAGATGCCGACAAATTTTTCATCTAAATTTCATCGATGTTTAACAAAATGATTGCAGTTTTTGTCTATATCAACTCTTTGAATTGAATCCCACAACACCAGTTGGTTTGTTTCAAGTTCTCTTTTAGTGGACATGCTTTTCAGATTGCCATTAAATCCACATGATAAGGAATAATCCCACGATTTTCTTCTCACTAATGAGTGGATATTTGTACTAAAATAGTTTGAGGAAATTACTAACCTCTAAATCTACTATTTAGGGTATGTATTTCAAAAGTACAAATCTTATTGTTAACTAACTACCTTTTTCAATATGAGTATGGAAGAGGTATTGTAACCTCCACCCCCCCCCCCTAGTCTTAACATATTCCATTTATCTGTGTTACCGGAGTATTGATTGTTATTTCGGATTCCTAAGACCACAAAGGAATATGTATTACTCATTGGGAGCTGGATGCAAGACGTCTTTGCGAGATCACATATTGGTATATTCTGTCCAGCTACAATCGTGAATGCATATACAATTGTCTTACTGAGGCCAGCAGAGTTGCAACATGCAGAATCCGTGCACCTGAACTTCATTGAATGTTATTATTGTATCAAATGGCAGGCTTTTTGATGGTTATCATTAGCCCTTTAGTTGACTTCAGGCTTCACAGAGGGAAGGAACATCAAATTAAAAAAAATAATCAAGAGGGCGGGGGAGGGGAGCAGAAGAGTGTTTCACAGATGTAAAGGAGACAGACACAATATTAGAATAACTGTGAGGTGAGTACTGTGGAAGGAGTCGAATATGACACACAGTGGGGTGATGATAGTTTGAAGTGAGAAGTCAACTGCCAGTTAATAGACTTTATTGTCGTATGAATATACGTTGCCCAGGGTGCTTCACGTGGAAGTAAGTCTATCGCACACCCCACTTCATTGAACGTAAGATTTCGTTGATGTAAACCTGCATCAAATGCAACTTTCAAATAGCGACTAAATGATAAATCTTCTACCGAATAAATGATGACCAGCCGGTACTGAGGATGTAAAATA